TGTCCCAGTCCAGCCCTGAGCACGACACGCAGTGAATTAATCTGAGAAGGTGCATTAAAAAAAATAAATGGCGCACCACCAGTGCACATCGCAAATCAGCTCACATAGACACGTTAGTTGTGCCTCTTCTTAATGACGGTATCTTAGCTAACAACCCCAACTACCAGATTCAACTTGTAATTGGCTGAAAATAACTTCGCCTACCGGTGAGAGGGACGTTGTTAGCTTTCCACATTCAGACACTTCAAAAGCTTCAGCAGCTGTCAGCGCAGCATCAGCACCACGGAGATACACGGATACATCCGTAGACTCGAGACACAAGGCGTCTTTGGGACTTTCAGGTGTTTGGACCAATGTTTTCTTTTCTGAACAAACCAGAAATCTTTAATGAGCAGCTGCATTTGTCTCGCATTAACTGGCTGAGTTAATGCCAGTTAATGCAACATTGAAGCAGCTGGAATCCACAGCTGTGCGTGTTCATGGAGCTGCATGTTCACCTGCTGGACGTCACTACCTGACAAGGTTAACTGTCTTCAGAACATTGCAGAGGCCTTATTGACAGTATTTGGCTCTAATATCTGTGTGAGGGGATTTTCTCTCACATGAGTCTTCAGGTAGCCTCTGAATGCTGGACACTGGGAGACCAGAGATCATATTAACATGTGTGTCTCTGTATTAACAAACATGCCATATTGGCCCAGTTTATTCTTCTTATCATTGTTGTGAGGAGGCCATAAATAGCATTTGCATTTTCTGTTGTACAGTTCATTTGCTGTTATGGATAAAAAGTCTTTTTTTGTTTCAAAAGAGCTGATAACTATTCGCTGACAGCTGCCAACATCTGTGAACAAATATGATTCTATAAAGTGTGTAATTTATTGCTAATGCAGTCATATGGCACACTGACCTCTGAGGAAATGTTAGATGCACTCGTCAACAGAAAGGTTGCCGACCCTGCTCTAAGAGAAACGTCACTCATCCAAGTGACGTCTTCAGTGTCAGCTAACTGTAGGTTTCCCCATGCTTACAGTACTTTTTCACAGTGACAAAAACTAGCAGCAGTGGCAAACAATGGGCTGTAAATATGTTTATCTAAGCTGGGCATTTTTCAAAGGTGAGAAGGCACCTAAAGAAACTCCAGGCAATGCAGGAGAGAAGAAAGACAACTGCCATCACAGTGAAAACCCTTAGTGATCCCGTATGTGTCAGGAGTATGGGAACAGTTGAGTTCATTTTGTCTAAACACCGGGTCTCTGTGGCTTTCAAACCCCTAAACACGCTGCGTCAAAAATTGGTCCACCACAAGGATCGGGTCCCCCGACACAAACAGAGTAACATAGTGTACGCTGGTAAGTGCAGGAGGAGTGCCAACATCGGGGAAACCAAACAACCTCTGGCGAAGCGAATAGCACAACACAGAAGAGCCACCTCGTCAGGCCAGGACTCTGCAGTTTGTTTACATCTACAGGCCAGTGGACACTCTTTCAATGATGAGGATGTAACATCCTGGACAGGGAGGAACGCTGGTTTGAGGGCGGAGTCAAGGAGGCCATTTATGGTAAAATGACCTTCTCTTTAGAGTAATTAAGTAACATATTGCATTGCTTTTAAGGAAAGTGTAATATCTGTACTACGTAAATTTTTGAGCAGTGACCCTAACACAGATCACAACAACATGGGGAAATACCTCCAACATGCACAAACCTTTGACAAATAAGCCAGTAAGAACCAAATGAGAATCAAAGGAATCAAATCGAGAGGTGATTTCAATAATTGAATCGTTATTGCTAAATTCTTATCAATTTCCATCCCTACCTGCTCATCTGTTTCCTATTTCCAAATTCATCTCACAACATTTCTAACATTGGCTACAAGTTCCACTTATTTCTCTTCTGGCCTGCTTCTAATTAATGACCTGCCTTTTTGGATTCATCCCTCTGGTTATTTTTGTCTGCATCCCCGTTGACAAAACTCGAGCCAGTTTTTTATCCTTCCAATGTGTCCTGCCTAATTTGGGTCTATCAAGTCTACAGTACACACATATGTTGTCATGGTTGTGAAGGTTTTTCTTGATTTGGTGGACTGTCTGGTTTTGTTTTATTTTGAATTAATTTGGAAATGTATTTGTTAATTGAATCGTGTTTTTGTTTTCCTTAGTTCCTGGTTATAGTTTTGTTTATATAGTTCTTTGAGCATTTTCCTGATTAGTTATATTCCCAGTTCCTGGTACTTTGGAGTTTAGCTTCATCCTTTTGTGTCAGTTCCCCTGTATTACTTCATTTTTGTTTGTTTCACAAAGCAAACCAAATAAAGCAGAGAGCTTACCTCCTCCACAATGGACATTACAGTCTTGCCAGCTGCTATGTGTCCAGATGTAGAGATACTCTGGTTCCCTTTGTTCCTCACTGCTCCTGTTCTGACCTGTGTTTAAAGACACTGTGTACTCATAGTGGATCCCATAGCTCTGGTCATGAAACAGCAGTACCTGTTAATATGACATAGAAGGGTTGAAAGACAAGGGAAGTTGTACCTATAGCTTACCAAATTTCTCTACATTTATTTGCTTTTCTAGCTGTAAAATATTGTTGATAAACCCAGTCAAGTGTATAGCTGTTCTTTAAACGTTTCTTTTCTGTTCTTTAAACTTTAATAATAAAGCGCGTCAGAGATTTATAGCTACACCAGAAGGAAGGTGGCTATTTAAAAAGGTAAAACTCAAATGCCTAATCCATTTCAATAGAGACATAACTTATATCTTTAAAATGACTGACAAAATCTGAGGGATGCAGATTGACCGGCTGATGGACTGAGATAGGACCACCATAGTCAAAAGAAGACTGCTGTTTCCGTTTGAATTGTTTAAATACAGTAACAACATGGCTGTGTTCTGGGTAGCTGCCCTTCTATAAAGTGGCTAAAATGGTATTTATAATTGTTTATTTGCCAAGTTGTCTGTTAGGATTATAAAACTGGTCCAACCCTGGAGTTGGGTGCCTTTTTAATGCTTGAATGAATCACAGGTGAGCATTAAGTGGCTTAATAAAAAAAAAGTCCTCTGATTCAGTGGTAGATACACTGAAATATATATATATATATATATATATATATAAGTAAAATATGTGAATTCAAGATATATGAAATTATGAAGCAAAGAATAAATGAATAAATAACTCTGAATATTCCTGAAAGTAGCCACCCTTTGCTTTGTTGACAGTGCTGCAAACCCTTGGCCTTCTCTCAGTAAGCGTCATGATGTAGTCACCTGAATTGGTTTTCCCTTCACAGGTGTGCCTGTCAGGGTTCATTTGTGGAAGTTCTTGCCTTCTTAATGCGGTTGGGAACAGAAGTCAGGTCGGTACACAGCTGACAGCCCTATTTGATAACTGTTAGAATTCATATTATGGCAAGAACCAATCAGCGAAGTAAAGAGAAACGACAGTCCATCATTACTTTAAGAATTAAAGGTCAGTTAGTCCAGAAAATTGGTAAAACTTAGAGGTTTTTTGTGTCCCCAAGTGCAGTTGCAAAAACTATCAAGCCCTACACTAAGACTGGTTCACATGAGCGCCGCCCCAGGAAATGAAGACCACGAGTCCCCTCTGCTCCTGAGGATAAATTCATTTGAATTACCAGCCTCAGAAATCACAACAGCACCTCAGATTAGAGATCAGATAAATGCCACACAGTAGCAGACACATCTCTACATCAACTGTTCAGAGGATCCTGTGTGAGTCAGGCCTTTAAGAAATGTCGACTAAGGAAAAGCAACAAGCAGAAGAAATTTCTTTGGGCCAAGAAACACAAGGAATGGACATTAGACCAGTGGAAATCTATGCTTTGGTCTGAGGTGAGGATGGTCTCTACATGCATGGTTCCCACCGTGAAGAGCGGAGGAGGAGGTGTGATGGTGTGGGGGTGCTTTGCTGGTTGGGGATTTATTCAAAACTGAAGGTACACTGAACCAGCATGGCTACCACAGTATCCTGCAGCAACATGCCATCATTGGTTCCAGTTTGCTTTTAATTGGACCATCATTTATTTTTCGCCGTGGACAATCACCCCAATCACACCTCCAGGCTGTTGAAGGGCTATTTGACCAAGAAGAAGAGTGATGTGAAGTGTTGCACCAGATGGCCCGGCCTCCACAGTCACCTAAGCTAAACCCGTTCAAGATGGTTTGGAATGAGATGGACCGCAGAGTGAAGGCAAAAGGACCAACAAGTGCACAGCATCTCTGGGAATTCCTTCAAAGCTGTTGGAAAACCATTTCAGGTGACGACCTCATGAAGCTCATTAAGAGAATGCCAAGAGTGTGCAAAGCAGTAATCAAAGCAAAGAGTGGCTATTTTAAAGAATCTAAAATCTGAAACATGTTTTGAGTTATTTCAGACATTTTTATTTATTACATAATTCTTCTATATGTATTCATTAACAGTTTTGATGCCTTCAGTGAGAATCTAAAATTAAGAAAAAACATTAAATGAGTATATGCGTCTACCTTTTCAACTACCAGTCAACTTTTTACTGGTAGTGTATCTGTGTGTGGGTGTGTGTGTTTGTTTCCATGAGTAGCAATACAAATCAATTTACCATTAGATATAAAGGAGTCTTAGTGGGTCCCTTGGCAGACATCTTCTCCCATATTCCTCTTCTAACATAGCGCACAGTGGTTCCAGCCAGCTCAAATTCTCCTGGAAGTTCAATTTTCCAGTCATTGTTGATGGACCTCTTACTTGAGTCTTTGAGAGCTATAAGTAAGATACAAGAAGTTACACACACACATCTATATACATATATATAT